TTTGTTTTKTAGGYTAATAATTAAGCTTTGTCTTGGTTGTTAGTGGCTACCTAAGTGTATGCCATATATTATTTGCTTTATGTGGACTACTTTTGATTAATGGCACTTGTCATCTGTTTTATTATAAGTCTTCGCACTTGCTGCCTCATTGTAAGTTTTTATTATCTAACTTAAGATTTAGTTTCATTGGACAATTGTTTTTTAGAAAATTAAAATTCTGAGCAATGAATAATAATAATTGATTCTTTGTATACTAGGCCATGCTTGATTTCATACACTGTAACTTCATTTTTACTTTTATTTGAATCAGACCCCATTCATGTCAGAAAAAATAATTGTAAAGGCTAGTGGATCAATATCTTTTATGAATTTTGATAGCATTACATTCATGTAAGCACCACCCAGTAGAGCAGATTTTGTATGAGTGGGAAACAGATGGTACTGTACAATGAACGTAATCGTACTGTAACCAAATTCTAGTGCCCCATTGGTTCACCAAAATTGTGCAGGCCAGGTACCGTAACTGTGAGGTAACCGTGCGGTAACCGTGCGGTAACGGTGTCCCACTCATACGAAATCCGCTCTGTTTAAAGCTACCTTGTATGAGAAACTAAGTACTCACATTGTATTGTTTTACTTTCTCAAAAGGCCATCAATGCTGGACAACTTTGCCCTTCTATCAGGTGAGTACTTGTAAGATTTYGATAAAAGACTGTGGTCATCTTGCTCCCCTTGTCAGCTTTTTCTTGTTTGAAATAAAAAAAACAACAACAAACATTGTAGTAATATAAAATAAAAGTCACTTTTTATTATTCCTTTATAATCTGCAAATGGAGATGGCAGACTAATGAGGCTAGATTGGAGATATTTTAAAGTGCTACTTGCATGAAAATGGTCTTATTTCAAAACTTCAAGCAATACAAATATATGACTCATTTACATCTATTTTAAAAAAACAATTGCGGGAAAATATTTGTTTTGGAATTATCCCACATCAGAGAAATTTTGATTCAAAAGATGGAAGAACAAAAGGATTAAGTAAATGACGTCATCTACTCCAACATTTTTTGCTCAAATTGTTAAGGATTTGTATCAATATCTTCTTGAAATCTGTTGCTTCATGATTATTAGACCCATATGGATAGGTCTATTTGATTTCCAAGTCTTTTCTACTGTTTCGCAATTTTCGTCCAAGTACATGTAGCCCTTTAAGGTTCTGTCTTAAAGAGATGAACGGTCCAAGTGGTTTGAGAATGGATATTTGAAGTCACCTTATTTTCCATTGGAAATCTAAATCATGATGGCATTCTACATAATGATTGACCACAGCCATGAACCTCTCTAAGCATTCATCAATCTCCATTCTATCTTCCAGTTATCCATTCCATCTACCAGCTGTCCTTCCTACTACATTTCTTATATATTATTATAAGCATTTCTTTTAATGTTGTTTTAAAGGTCAAGTAAGAACTCTGACCAAGTTGCTGAAGGGGGACAAAACACCTGCTCTTAGAGATCTTGTATTGTTACCATTGCTTGTGCAACAAGAAACAGACCCTGATATCCAGAAGGCCACTCAAGGCAGAATACATGCATTCAATCATGAAGTTGGTAAGGACACTTCTTCTTTGAATAYTTTTAAATAAAATTATCTGACCCTAAATAATTTTCTTACATACATGTATATAGTATGTACTTATTGAACACTTTGTTTCTAATCTGTTCTTTTTTATTGTWTTTGTTAATATTAAAAAAATATGTATTTACAGTGTATTGTATCGTAGCCTGCTCCGCAGGCATCACATAAAGAATCATGGGCTTCCTGTCTTTTTTGGGAGTTTCTAGAGCGGAAAAGATGACCGTCCACAGGAAGCCCAAAGGAGGAAAARAGAGTTTTGTGGGGAGAAGGCTAAATGTATCAGTTTTATAAAACTGCTTTTTGTTGTCTCAGTACAGCATTCCTGCATTGCATTATGTACATGTAATTATAAGTAAATCCTTGTTTTTTTAAGTTCCTGATTATTTGCGAACCAAATATGAGCCTGAGGTGGAGGAATATGAACAAAAACTTGTATCTGTTGCATCAAATATTAAACCAGAATCAGCGCAGGTAAGTGGTTGAAGTTATATATTATATCRATCAATATTAATTTGGCATTTACACCTGTATTATTAGTTGATTTTAATTAAAATACATATATAATTTACATTAATTTGTATCTGGTGATGGTTTTGTAAACCTCTTCTTCTTTGTGAATTGTGGTCCATGTCTCCATTCTGCAGTATGAGTCAACCAGGCATGAGACAAAAGTGAAAATATTTCATACTAACAGACAAGTACAATATTTTGTTTTGACACTGTTGACGGTGACTGTTGACGGTGATTGTTGATGGTGACTTCAGAATGTCACTCGAGATATTTTACAATGCAACAACAAGTACATTATATATTTTACAATGCAACAACGAGTACATTATTTTGTTTTGACACTGTTGACGGTGACTGTTGACGGTGATTGTTGACGGTGACTTCAGAATGTCCTTGGAAAATTTTACAATGCAACTTAATTATCCTAAATGTATTTAATTAATACAGAAGCAAATCAGTCACTTGAATGACATCATTGAAAGTCTAACGGAAATGATTACAAATGCCAAGGAAGAATGGGAAGGTGAACAAAGTTTAGGTGAGCTGCAATTATCAGTTCAAGATCTTTACTGAGGCACTTGTGAAAATTACATTTGAGAATACATTTTACCTTGGAGGGCAAGTTGGTTTTCTTCGACGTCTGTAATTGCAGTGTCGATTACATCCACAATGTTCCTTTAGATAATGACGGAGGTTTGGTCACTGCACCAAATGTGTAACACTCCTCAATCAAGATAATTGCTTATTGTGTTGTGTACATGTACTAGTATAATTTTAATGGACCAAAGCTTCCAAACACACACCAGAGCACATGGTATCATAGTTCTCACTGAGCATGTCAGTTGTACATTTTCCAGGGGGGAGGGGTTGTACATTTTCCAGGGGTGGGGGGAGGGGGGGCGAGTATTACATGTACATTAAGCCTATTAGTAAAATGGTCTTTGAATGGAGGAATCAAGTTTAATGTGTACTACTGTATTTTTTAAGACTCGTTTACCACTGGCAATTTTTATGGCCATTTTTGTGGTCAATTTGATCCTAGAAAATAATGCTAAAGATTTTTAAAACTTTTATTCAGTACATACATGTACACTGAGAAACACTTATCCCCTCAGAAGAACAAGGCAAAATCTATTTAATATTTTTTGAACAATATACTATCTAGGTTTTAATAACAGTTTCAGAGCAGTTTTTTCTGAAGTCTAATAGTCAAAAACAGTAGCAGTACATCATGTTGTTTTTGTTGTTAAAACGCCTTGACAATGGCTATAATTGCATTTGTTTCTTACTTACCTTAATATTACATAAACTGTTGATGATTAACAGCTGCCAGAAATACACCTGTCGTAAACCCTGATATAGACAACCTTGTCAGTGCCGTCACATTTGGAAAAGGTTAGTTGCTTTACACCATGTAAAACAGCTTCATGATCTACAGTACTTTGGACACCACATGTCATGTACAGTAAAAACCCACGTATAAGAACACCTATTTTGGCGGTTAAGGCTGATTTGGTTCTTATATCTTGATATTTTTCCATTAAGAACAACTTTCATTTTTTCAGGCTGAATGTGTTCAGATTATATAAATGGTACTTTATTTCCTAAAATCAGGCCTGGGTGTTCTTAATCCACTTGTACTTATACATGGGTTTTTACTGTATTTTTTGTCAAAAAACTCTTGAAAAACATCAAATAACCTCATGTAGCTCCTGAAGCTGTGTGTCGGTAGTAAGAACTATCACTAATAATAGTGTATTTTTTTGTGGCTAATGTCAGTAAAATTAGCCCGTACCACTACGCTGTCACCTTAACACTACGTGATGTTGGATGTATTATTTTTTCAGGAATGAGACCATCAAAGAATTCAAAACAAAAGCTAAAAGGTTCAGCAGATTCAGGTATATTTAAAATAATTTTACTTTATGAAATACATGTATGTGTTTGGCTTGTTACAAAATTTGTGCTTGGAAATTGAGAGTGGCTAACATGGGTTACATTCAATCCTTATCACAGCTCATTTAAAGTGCACTTTTCTTGGGCATGTATTTTTATTACTTCCCCTTCCCTGTCTTTTATCAATTTTTTTTTTTTTTGTAGTTTAATGATATATGTACAACTAGTGCATAATGTGATTCTCTATTGTTTTTCAGTCGGTAAAATGTCAAGTTCAGTAAAAAGTGAACTCAAAGCTTCCACCAGTTCTCATCCCTATGCTAGCAACAGGCCATAACTAGCAAAGGAGGTCTCTTTTCTATGTACATATCATAAAATATTTTTGTAAGTTATAGAAATGTAAATGAATAAAAATATTGTATATTATTGGAGCTGTGACTCTTTTTAAAATGGGATAGGTGTACAGAACACCAAAGAGCATGTACATTGAATATATGATATCTTAACTAAATTGAAACCATTCCCAAGTACTTTTGAGTGGGCTTTTGGGAATTAAGATAGGAACAAAAGGAAATGTGCCACTTGAATCCTGTGGTTGTTACAATCTCAAATACTTGATTTTTTTCAATAATTTATTATGAATTGTAACAGTTTATTAGCGATTGAAAAGGTTTGTGAATAAATGAAACTTGTTTTGTGCTAAAAAGTCTAAGTGCGTTAATAAGGCTAAAGATATGTTGAAGTTGAACGAAAAAGAAAAATATGAAGTAATAATTTATCCATTTATCCAAAAAGCATTTATTTTTGAYAGAAAGTTAACGGTAAAGTTAACAATATATTATTTTAATAGAATGAATGTACATCTATTATATTTTTTTATATTAACATTTCTAAGTTTCTTTAATTATACAGTCAAGTAGAATTATATTAGTTATTTGCAAAATTCTGTCTGCTAACATGTAAATGCACTGACTATTCTTAAATTTCCAGTACATGCAGTAATAGCCTTGTTCCTAGGATAGAAAACARTCAATAAACAAACAATTTGCACATAGATTGAATGCTATTCCTGCCTTTACTGTAATTTTAAGAATAGACAAAAATGAGTCCATCAAGGGTATATTCATATGATTTTTGTTCTTTTCTCATTTAAATATTAATTTCAGATCAACTCGATCTTATCACACTTATTTACAGCCAAACAATCATATTTTAAAGTTTGATGACAAACTAAAGGTTTAACTAAAGCATATCAGCTGCCATATATTTACACACACCATATTTACATGCAAGAGCATGATGCACTTATTAGCGACAAGTAAGACAACATGTTGTTACAGTTAAAGTTTATGTCAAAGAATGAACTGATATATTGTATTGCTAAGTTGTGATATGTCAGGTCTTTTTTTTTTGACTAAATCAAAGGTCAATATTTTTTCATTTCAGTAAACTGCACAGTTGTATACTTGAATCAAGCTTCTATAGAAACAACATTTGAATGCTTTATCACAGTTTGTTGWGAGCTGCTGCTATCGTTAACTGTGTCAGTTCGACGSCCAACATCTGGACTTGACTGCAGAGAAGGTGTAGAGTCATCACGTAGAGTAATTGTCCTCCCTCTTCCAGTATTCACAAGGTGAAGACCCATATTCAATGCTGCAGATGTAACAGAGGTGTGCACTGGATGAACATGTGCATATGTGTTTAAGACTGGATAGAATAGAAGAAGGTGGATTTTAGGTCCRTATGCACAGATAATGACTCCTGTTGCAGCAGTGATGTTTGTTAAGCATGCAAATACTTGCAAAACAGGTCCTTGGATAAGTGCCCAGCCTGGATAAAATGTTGTCAAGGTGACAAGGAAAAGAACCAGAGCATAAAACATATGCTTAGATTCCAGAAACTTTTGCGCCTGGCATATCTTTTTAGTTTGATGGGAGTACACTGTAGCAGCAAGAACAATAACAAAGAGGTAGACGGCAATGATATACCTGAGTAATTGTCCACCCACAGTATCTACAGATGGGCAAGTCATGTACACAACATCTCGGTTTATGACAACTTTGCCAGAATGAAGATCTCCAACAATAATCCAAATGATGGACATTATTACAGGAAATAGAACAGCAACTAAAGCCAAGAYGCAGTACTGCCAAACTGGACGWTCAAAGCCCTTTGCTGCAATGGAYGGACTGCCTTGAATAGCAATAGTATTACTTGCATCAAAGCAACGTCTAATAAAGAGTATTTTAAGAAGGAATGTTACAACAGCTCCTGGATAGATAATGTAAAAGAGAATTGCTAAAAATATGCATCTGAAATCGGACGGTGGCGACAATAAAATAAAGTTGAATCCATAAGAAAGAAGAAGGTCTATAAGAAGCATCAAATTGAGAATTCCTCCTGTTTCAGTGACCAATGGGGTTTTGTAGTTTCTGATGATCATCGCTAAAACAAAAAGGGTCATAACAATTCCTGCACAGTTTGTAAATAGCAAACCAATTCCCCATGGGTCTACCCAACGAATATACTGTGGAGGGACCTCWGTACAAGAGGTGTAATTCTYTGAATGTACAAAACCTTTAGGRCACTTTTTGCAAGTGGTGCTTTCTTCAACATCAGTATAGGTGTCCTCAGAACATGCAAAGCAGCCCCATACGCATTGAATAGGCTTTCCCTTGTATGTCCCTTTAGGGCAGACAGCTCCACATGAGGACCTTGGCTTTTTATTTTTATGCCATTGTATTTTACCATTGTTTACATTAAGGTTATTATTGTCCCATTGTCCAATGTTCACAGCTTCAATGGARCCAAATGAGTTGACTTGCAAGTTGACAATATCATATCTTGCTTGTTTTTCTGTTTGGGAAAAATCAAAACTTCCTGTCAAACCATTGAAAGAGGTCCTCTTTATTGCCTCAACCATYTTTTCTGGTGTGATATCAGCCAAGTTGTTACACTTTAATCCAATGCAATTCTGAAGACGGCTCAAGGCATGTGCTACWGTATAAACAGCATCAGCAACATAAGCAGATAGTGGAGARTGAAGTTTCTTAGTGTAGAAATCACTTGTAATTTTTTCACCACCGCTGCAAAGTTTCARGCCATTGTTTTGCATATTATTWATYGAGCAATTAAATTGTGTGCTCCAAAACTCTTCCCACCATACATTTTTATTAGCAATTGAACTGTTCAAATCCATAAAATACCTTTCTAAAGGCAAAAAGTGAACATCTCGAAACTCAAATCCTATTGTCCCTTGGATCAACGGTATAAATTGTTCTTGTCGAACATATGTTGACTCCGCCCATCCGTCACTTGCAATCCAAGTTTTGTCAACCATGTTTTGTTTCACTGCCTCCTTGAATATTTGCACAGCCTGTGCAGGGAGACTATACAGGATTATAATTTCAACATGTTTCATAGACTTTAACTTTTCGACCAGAATTTTTATTCTGTTTTCTGAATCATATACAGGGAAAAGTTCAGTTAATGCGATGCAAATCTGTTGATCATTCGCAGCATTTTGAAATGAGGTGATTCCGCTTCTTCCATAGACATCGTCTGTGCCAATGACAGCCACACAAGTCCATTTGTTCTCTTTGACAGTTTGCGCCATCGCTTGAGATTGAAATGCATCCGAAGGTACAGTGCGAAAAAAGGTGCGAAATTTTTTTTTATTCGAGAGCTGTGCGCTTGTTGAACCRTARCTGATTTGTGGTATGTCACCAAGTTGTAAAACGTTCGCCATATTAACTGAAACTCGCGAGTCCTCTCCGCCTAAAACGGCAACAATGGGAGGATGTGTTTTGTTGCCTTTGGAMGAAACCTCAACACAAGAGTTAACGGCCTTTGAATATCTCTCATTAAACATTAAAGTGTTAATAAACGAGAACTGTGCCGCAGAAGATATTGCAACTTGTTCTGTGCCACAAGTATCTTGAATATCGTAGCCTAAAATCACATTTGGCAGCAGCGAAGAATTTCGGTTTATGTTRTCGATGGCTARTTTCATTGCTWCTGACCAAGCCAGCGCCTCGGGACGAAAACCAACACATTTATCGTTGACTTGCTGAAGATGGATTGGAAATAGCCCTCCAATTATAACATGTCCATGTTTATAAAGTCTTGTATGGTGCTGGGCTTCACGGCTTGAAAATAAACCCATTAACGAGAGAAGAAAAAGCGAATAAGAAAAACAAACCCAGCGAACGAAAGAAGCCATTTCCTTTATAAAGTTTAAGTCAAACAGCTGTATTTGACCTTATAACTTCAGCATCATTTGTCAGAATCATCTAAAGTATCTCCTTTCATGGTCCTTTTCCTTTCACGTCTTTTAGATTGTAACGTAGAAATACAAATATACAATTATATTATAATTCGAACAAAAGATTTCTTTGAATTCAGCGACCTTTCGAAGTTCCGTGTCAGTTTGCATGAAACACAGGGACCCCATAAATTGATTGGTGTGACATATCAGTATATTTTGACATTTCATCAAGTAAAATTTTCCGTAAATATCTTATAAATAATCATTACTACTCAATTTTTTTTTGCATATTAAAGGAATGACTTTAGTTTAAACTAATAACATCCAACAGTGATCCTTTGGGTACCCTCCCTTAAATTCTCTTCGTCACACCAGAGATCGGCTATCTCGTTGACTGTTTCGTACTCTGATACCTGCTTTCAGTTTTAGATCAGGCTTATGTCTCGTTATTTTGTCGTTTGTCCCTTCAAGACACAACAAAACACAGATGTAGTTTCGGGGTCCCTGTGCTATCCCAAAGGTGAGCAGAGCTAGAGAGCCTCACAATCTCGTACCCAGAGCCGCCGTTCCTCTTGGTCAGCGCCGAGAAAGATTCTCGGCGCTGACCAAGAGGAACGGCGGCTCTGGGTACGAGATTGAGAGCCTCAATCTCGTGATCATGACATATTTACACGGCTTGCCAATACATTTTTTTATTGAATTAACAGCTAAAAATTACACAATTTTATGAAGATTTATGCGATAGGATAGTGTGTGCAGCTAGTAATTTATTTTATAGCTATTG